TCAGGAACCCCATAAGAACACTCAACTGCAACTATAATATATATGCAAAGAAACCAGATAGTAAAAAGAGAGATGAAAAGTACAAAAATAAAATATAACAATAAATAATAAGATAAAACTACACATTAAAAAGGAAGAGGCTTGACACGACATTGAGACAAGGACCTTCCAGAGATGTCACTGCCGGGTCTCTTTCCTGTGGACTGCTGCACACGCAGCTACCCTCAGTGACTCCTCCTTCAAGGTAAGGACCTTTTCATTTGCAAGTGCTTGTCAATTGGAGATTGCTTCTGGGTTGAAGCTGGGGACTTGTGTCCACTTCTCCTTTCTGCTCTAAGACCCCGTCTGGTGCAGAGCCTGTGCAAAGCATATTGAACAGTTTATAAATCCTAGTGTGCTTACAAATCTGCAGGAAAATGTTGCAAGGGAGCAATGCTGTCACAGCATTATCTCTACCCCATGTTTCCACCAACACTACCTACACTCTGCCCAGTGTTCATCGGAACTGATTTTATGGCATTGTCTCTACTCAATGTTTCCACCAAAACTACCTACACTCTGCCCAGTGTTCATTGCTACTGATTTTTCAGTAAAAAGGCATTGCGACATTTTACAGACAAACACACACAGACACACACGTCCATACCCACATGCACAGACTGGACAATGGCCCTGGGAGTGATGCATAGCTCATGTATTTTATATATTCTATCAACATGGTTTCTTAAGCTTTGCTGCCTGCAGCGTGGTTCATGGAAGCTTTAATAGCTTTGCCATCATCGCTGGTAGTACTTTAGACGCATTGACATCTCCTGGAGCTCCATTGATTGCTCGGGTCCAGGCTCCAGACTCCAAATCAGGACTCTGAATTTTCCCATATGATTTTCTTATATACAAGTTCAAGAATCAACGCCAGTGAACATGAAGACAGCAGATTTCTCCAAAAGCTTGAGTGGATACATTTAGATTCTATGATCCACTCCCCATCTATGATCCACTCTCTGTTGAGCAAACTTGGAGCAACCAATGATCGCATGTAAACAGAGAGGCAGACCGTGACCCATTCTCCAATCATATTCTATTAGTATTAAAACTTAAATTTTTACATGCATTTCAAAAACTATTCTGTGTCCAGTTCTTTTTCAGTATTTAAAATTCCTCTTACTTCATTTTACACGGCCAGATTGAGCTTGTGTGCTCCGGCTGTTGACCTTTGAACTGAAGCACAACCAATTCTAGAAGATGGCTATTTACAGAGAGGCAGCGGAGTTTCTGAGAAGCTGAAAGTTCAACTGCAAGTAAAGAAATCCAGCTGCAAGCACCTGAAGACACTGAGGCTAAATAACAATACAAAGACTAGGCAAAGAAAAGATATACCATTTATTATATAATAAGTCATATATGGACTATAATTCTATTATAAAAATATTGAAAAGTATGAAGAAAAAAATGTAACATGGGGGTGCCTGTTTGCTATTTGAGTTTTCCCTTCCGCCCCGTCCCCCAGCTATTTAGTCCTAGAGAAAAATCACACTGAAATCTCTATAAGTTATAATGCTGATTGGCCTGTTAGGTCAGGCTTCTTACTGGCTAACTCTCACATCTTGATTAACCCATTTTTCTGATCTATGTTAGCCATGTGGCTCAGTACCTTTTTCAGTGGGGCAGCTCACATCCTGCTGCTTCGGTGATCTGGGCAGGAGTGGGAGGAATCAACTTCCTCCTCCCCAGAATTCTACTGCTCTCCTTGCATCATTTCTACTTCCTGTCTGGTTTTCTCACCTACACCTCCTGCCTGGCCAATCAGCGTTTATTTAAAACATGATTGACAGAAATCAGACAATTCTCCCGCACCAAAAAAATTGATTATGAACATTATTTCCAGCAGGGTCTTACATGATTATAGTCTTACTTCATTATCTACAAGATATTTTATAATAATACAAATATTAGTGCAGTTATAATTTTATGCTACTTTCAAAAATCATGATCTTTGCCAGATAGTAGTGGCGCATGCCTTCAATCCCAGCACTTGGGAGGCTGTGACAGGCAGATCTCTGTGAATTCGAGACCAGCCTGGTCTACAGAGCGAGTTCTAGGACAGTTAGGGCTGTTACACACAGAATCTCTGTCTTGAAAAACAAAACAAAACAAAAGAATAAAAAAAAAATTGCGATCTTTAATGATAAGTCAATGTTCTAAAGAACGATGTGTCATGTCTTATTAGACCTTGGTATTTTAAAAGACCTGCAGAATATGTAAGAATGATTATGTGTTAGGAGAATGAGTAGTATACTTGGCTTAGCATGCCAACTCCTAAAAACGCAGCGACTACAGGGATGTCCCTACTTACAGAATCTACAAAATGAATAAGAAGATCAGTTGAAATGTCATCTGCAGGCAGGAATGTGGGTACCGTATAGGCAAAAGGAAGGTAACGATACATTTTTCATTGTGAAGGTAATTCATATGTAGAGAGTATAAAATTCACAAGAGGTTTGAATTATTTTGCATCTTCCTGAAATGTTAAAAAAGTTAAAGTTAGACACAGCAAGGCAAAGGAACTCAGTATCAAAGCTATTGTGACCAAGAGACTCAAGACAACAAGCATGCTAACACCATCCAGAATTTCTGCTAACAGAGGCACTGTCCACTCTGTCCTGGAGGACAAAGAAAAGTGTGTGCTGTAATAAAGCTTCTTACAGAGCCGCAGTGACAAAGAAAATACAGAATGTATTAATGTATCAAAATGAATTTTGTAATTGTGTGGGCTGTGTGGGAAAGCTGTGCCGTGTATTACCGCGACTCATCATGAACAAGAAAGTGAGGAGCGTCTTCTTTCCTTTAGAAAAACGTCTTCCCTTCTAAGTCAGAGATGGAAAGAACTGACCAGTGGACGGATGGATAAGTTTTGCAGTTTCAGATCTAGGTTCTAACAAAGTTTCCTACGTATTCTATGACTTTATGGTGAGACTCAGCATGAACACATGTGAACATATGTGCACTGTTGCTTGTTCCTCATCATAGCTACCTTGACTGATTATCCAAAGATGAAGCATTAGTAAAGACCTGATGAGACAAGCGAACAACATATAATATCCAAGATGTAATTCTGAACAATGTCTTAAGAGATGAGTAATTTCATTTATGAAAAGGGCACATTATTAGACCAGAAACTTATGACAACAGGCACAACTTAGAGCACCTGGGAAACACTAGAAAAACAAACAAACAAACCCTGGCTATTGTTTTGATTTTGAAGCTTAAAAATATAACTAATTTGAATATAACAAAGCCAATATTTTAGTGTATATAATTCTAAATTGAGTTTTAATTTGAACCAAAGCATTACTAATAATGTAAATTATCTTAGGAACAAGGAATAATTCAAGTGATACATTATTTCAATATAGTAAATTAATGTACGAACACTGAATAGGAGATTACACGGATAATATGAAATACTATATTTATAGCAAAAATGTACCTTACATAATTTAGAATAAATTTCTTTCTTTTTAATAAAGTAATATTTTAAACTAATTCTTGTAAAATTCCATACAGTATATTTTGATTATATTTCCTTCACTCTCCTAATTCTTTCTAGACCTGACCCTACTTTGATACCTAAACAATATCTTGTTCACTCTCTTTTCTTTTAAATCCAAGAAGTCGAATTTGTGTTGTCCAGATACTCTTGGTTGTGTTTCCTGTCCTGAGTATGGTAACCTACCAGGGGTGACACCCTTCAAGACAGCTGACTCTTTCTTTTTTGACCGGGAGCTATCAAATGCATATAGCTTCTCAGCTCGGAACAGGGCATCGTATCCACCTTCCCTAGTCCTTACTGTGATTTTGAAAGGTGTGAGCTTGTACAGGGATTGTGCATGCTGTCACTGGATCTTTGAGTTCATACGCACACTGCTCTGAAGTGTCTTGAGCTTTTTCTTTGTAACCATCCTTCACCTTTGGCTCTTATACTATCTCTGTCCATCTCTTCTCTGAGGTCCTTTGATGTGGGATTTCCCTCTGTATGCTGTGAATACCATTGGTGTCTTGGCCTGTTGATAGGGCAGATCTTAGGTAGGTGGGGAAAACTAAACAGGATGCTGGGAGAAGGAAGGTGGAGTAGAGAGACATCATGGACCCTCTGCCAGAGATAGACGTGCTGAAGTTTTGCTGGTAGGCCATGACCTCATGGTGATACACAGATTAATAGAATTGGGTTAAATTAAGATGTAAGAGTTAGCCAAAAAGAAGTTAGAGCTAATAGGCCAAGCAGTGATTTAATTAATACAGTTTCTGTGTGGTTATTTTGGGGCTAAGCTAGCCAGGCAGCCTGTTCTGAGCAGCTGGGACAAATAAGCGGGCCCTCCTCTGACAGCCCTTGAATTTTGGGGATAGGAGTTTGATATGGCAGTCCCAATTAGAACTGAGTACTCTATGCTCTCTTAGTCTCTACACATTGACCAGTTGGGTGTCTGTGTTAATTGGTATCTACAGCAACAAGAAGCTTCTCTGGAAAGGGGTGAAAGATGTGCTAATCTGTGGGTATAACAGCAAGTTATTAGTATTTGATGTTTGTTTTAATACCCTGCCCATTAGTAGAGTACTACTATGTTCTCTCCTTGGTCCCATGTCCTGTCCAGTCACAACTTGGCTCGAAATTGGTGTCAGCTCTGTGTTCTGTCTCATCAAGGTAGTCATAAATCCTGTCATAGAGTAGTTTGTTTCTTCCCGTACGTTTGTGCCACTACTGCAGCAGTGGTCAGAGCTTGCCAGGACAATCTGCCCTGTAGCTCACAAAGCGCACAGTTAGGTAAGAATATTGATTAATTATTTTCACTCAGGTAGCATATGTTCACATTCCAGCACTGTGAAAGCGAGTCAGAAAGGATGAAATTCCCTGTTTGGTACCAGTTTTATTTCTTATGGTCTATGACTCAAGTATAAGGTATCTTGAGCAATAGAGTCACATTGTCAAATTCTGAAGGATAATCAAGAGCAAGGGCTTTGGTGTCCTCCAGAGTATTTCCTTCTTATAAGAATACCTATAGGTGAAAAGTTAAACTCTTCCTGGAAGAGGAGTTTTTTTTTTTATATCAACTCAAGTGTCTAAAAATTTTAAGTTTTTAAATTTTTTAATTGATGGAACATGTAGACTGATGTTACAGATGATCAGAAATGTCACCGAGTCTGTCTTGGCATTTTGTTACTTTGTATTTTCTTCTCTGAAAAGAAAAAAACATAATTCTAGTAAGCTGTGGAAAAGCCAAGTTTTAGAACAGAACATAATGACTTAACACGATTTTCTTTCCAAATTTTTCCATTACAGGACTACATTGATATAATTCTAAAAAATAGGAAGCTCAATTTGTATCTTATATTCTACTTATCTTTAACTTTTACTGAGGCATACACAGGATGCAGTAAGATATACTGAGTACATATAACTTGATAAATATGACGCATGAAAATCTCTATAATCGAGATTGTGGGTCTGGAGATATGGCTCAGAAGTTAGGAATACTTGTTATTTTAGTGGACCCAGGATCAGTTCTTAATACCCACATCACAACCATATGTATGTATACATGTTAACATATGTACATGTAGGCAAAATCTCATTCACATAAAATAAAATGAGTAAATAAAAAATTTAAAGATAGTGACTACATATATGATCTATATGATTTTGTTTATAATTTCCAATATTAGTAATAGCCCAATTTTTGAAATGTATTTTTTTAATTTGTGTGTGGTGGGTATGTCTGTGTTGAAGGGTGGGGAGCGTGCATGTTGTGTATCTGGGTGATCTTGGAGGCCAGAAAAGGGAGGTGGATCTCTTGAGTTGGATTCCTGGACTTACAAGGGGTTGTGAGTCATTAAATGTGGGTTCCAGGAACTTAATTCTGGTCCTTTGCAAGAACAGATAGTACTTTTAACCATTTTGCCATCTCTTCATCCCCAACATAGCCTAACTTTAACTAGGTACACCGATATACTTTATTTTATTCATTCTTTCCATTTTAATGAGTTTATTTTACACACTGAGATATGCAAGTGCTTAGATTTTAGTGGTAAGGTCATTTAATCAAGGAACACAGATCTGGCAGTAATTAGTATTTTGCCAACATGTAGGTAATTGCTATTTTTAAAATTTCTTAATGTCTCTGTCTTTACAAATGATTGAATTTTTTTATAAAAATCCTTTAAGAGACTGACTTTATAAAAATATGTTCTTTTGTAGATATAGTTATTCAGCAACATCTTCAAAAGCATTTTATACCTTTAATATTCTGACCACATGAAAGCATGCTAAGATAATTCTTCTATTGATCGTGGGATGTGAGCTGTCTTTCACTCTGAGAGGTGTATTGTCTTTCTGGAAAGGTCATCCATTTCATTAATGGGATGAAGAGGTGTTGAGTCGCCTGATGCAAAGATCTCTTCACCACGTCAGGAAAGTGGCTCTATATCTTTAGGAATGTCGCTGAAAATATAGAACGTTTGCGGCCACACAAGAGCTAAGGTGTTTGAATCCTGAAACATCAATTATGCTTCTTGTAAAACTATTTTCAAAGTGCTTGATAAACAGTAGTTTTTAAGAGAAGACAGTATTTTATCCCATTGTTCATAAGGCATGAATAAACCCCGCTGTTGGTAGAGCTTCATGTAGATTTCCTCTTTCTTTTAAAATTATTATTGTTGTTGTTGCATGTTCCCACAATGCACACAGAGGTCAGAGGAACTTTTCAGAAGTTAGTTATTCTGTCTGGTGGTGAGGTTTGCAAGGCAAACACTTCCTCATTGAGCCATTTTGTCCATTCAGAATTTTTCATACTTCAAAAGCTGAAGAAGGCAAACTTCTTTAAAGACTTTAGTATGCTAACTGCAGAATAGAACATAGACATAACAGCCCCTGAAAACAAATATGTAGATATAATCACATCAGTAGGAACACTTAAGGCTTTCAGTACATCTCACACATGCTAGATGGTAATGCTCCAGAGAAATATTTTGATTAGGGCCACCATCTAGCTGCATGATATTAAAGAAGAATTCATAACACCCCGTTTACTCTAAATATAGGTCTAGGGATTTTTTTGTAGGTTAAAAACATCACTATTCACATTTTTATGTAGTTTAAATATAATAAATTAATGTTCAATGTCACAAAGAATAATTATGTTTAATTTTTTAGTGATTATGTATTCCCCAGGCTTTTAATAAGAAGAGTTATTTTTATATGGACACAGAAGCAGTAAGAACACAGGCCTTGAAGCAGGAATGTGCTTAGAGAGGCAGAGGATTTCCAGGAAGCCTCAGTGTGGCATGAGAAGCAGAAGAATGGGAGATAGAGATAAAGTAGAAACACAGCAGAGACCAGGATCAAGATGGAGTTTATACACTACTGTAAGGATTTTCCTCTTCTGGTTGATGTTGAGAAGGGGAGAGTTCTAAACATTTCATAGACTGAGAGAAGATTTATAGAGGAAGGATGGTTAGAAACCAAACTTGTGCTTTGAACATGTTAAGGTGAAGTTGTTGCTTGAAGATCTAAGCAGTGATGTCTGGAACATGTTGGCTATAAAGATCTGGACTTTAGCTAAAGAGCTGAGTGCTTGAGCCTACTGATATAGATTGCTAGCTCATCTTAGATATGATGAAAAGTCTTGGTGTTGTCTGAGATTACTGGTTCAGTCAAGTCAAAGAATCAGTACATCTAGGAGATAAGTATGAATTTGTTACAGGGATTTAACCTGAAGCATTTGTGAAAACTGGTTCATAAATCTTTGCCTGGTCGTTTTCTTCTTGCCTGGTGCTAGGATTTGAAGGACACAGGCCAGGCCAGAGAGAAGAGAATAGAAAGTGTGGAGAGAGAAAGCAAGGTTCGGTCCACAAGCATGAACAAGAACGCAAGGAAGAAGGATGGAAATCAGCCTGGTTCTGTTGCCCCTGACCTCAGTAATGTCAGTGTTCTGCAGAGGCTTCAGCGGTTGTTCATCATGAAAGTAAAGACACATACCTGACCCAGAAAACGGGAAAGTTGAGAGGGTGGGACAATCACAGGAACTCACTTCCACTCTCCGTACCTCCTAGACATTTCCTTTTTGATTCAAGTGTAATCAGAAATAGAGAAGAAATAGGAATCTTGGAAATGTAAGTCATTTTGGCAAAATGGTGGATTCTAAGTCGCCTATCCAAAAGGGCTCGATACGGCTGGAGAGCCGGCAAGGTTCTCAATCCTGAGTTCTAAAATCCTGAGTTTTCAACATTTAGATGTGAAGAACACAAAGCTCTGGGAAGAAACTTCAACAAGTCAGAATGCGTCCTTCTTCATTGTCTCCTGACGGTTACTGCGTGAAGAGAAGCTGTGATGTGTGGAGAGGAACCAAGGAGTGTGGATGAACTTCCGGATAAAAAGCGCATGCGTCAGACACCTGCACGTCCATGTCTTTGCTGCACTCGTCACTATAACCAAGTTACAGAATCAGTCTAGATGCCCGTCAATGGATGAGCAGATAAGGAATATGTCATGATACCCAACAGAGCTTTATCTAAAGAAGAATTAAGTTGTTTGTAGCAAAATAGAGAATACTGTAGACCATCATGTGAAGGAAGCAAGTCGATCACACAAATTACAGCATCTTTTTCTCTCATAGGTGGAAGTTAGGGAAAGACAAATTGACGGGCATGGAGGGAAAGGGGGATTATTAAGAATGTGGAAGGGGAAAGGTACAGGGCAGGGGGAGAAGGTGAACAGATCAGAAGGAATTAGGGCAGGAGGTGAATACGGCCAAAGTCCAGCATAAGTACACGTGGAAATGCCTTCATATAACTCCTTATTTTGTAGGATTCTTGTATGTTGGTAGAAAATAAAAGGTACACATCACTAGTAATCATTCTCTGCTACAGAGTTCTTGAACCTACCCCATGATGTCTTTATAAGAAATCACATTTGTCATAATCAAATCACCTTTTTCTTTGGTCTGGTGGATTTGTTTTTAGCAGTGATTGCTTGCAATCAATTGAAAATTCTCACAGAACGTACTTTAGGCAAAGTGTGAGACAAATAAATGAAGGCAACATGTACACAATATTTTTGCACGGTTTTTATTTATAAATTCAAAAGAAAAATAGGTTTTTAGCTGAAAAGTAAGCAAAGTAAGGAACTTTTTTTTTAAAAAAAAGATTTATTTATTGGGCTGGAGAGATGGCTCAAAGGTTAAGATTGTTCTTCCAGAGGTTCTGAGTTCAATTCCTAGCAACCACATGGTGGCTCACAACCATCTGTAATGAGATCTGTTGCCCTCTTCTGGCCTGCAGGGACACATGGAAGTAGAATGCTGTATACATAATTAATAAATAAATCATTTATTTAATTTACATGTATTTATATTTATTTTATTTATATGTATTTATATTTATTGCATATATGTCTGGGTGAAGGTGTCAGAGTCTCTGGAACTCGAGTTACAGACAGCTGTGAATTGCCATGTGGTTGCTGGGAATTGAACCTGGGTCCTTTGGAAGAGCAGCCAGTGCTCTTAATCACTGAGCCATCTCTCCAGTTTCAGGGGCAATTTATTTTTAAGAGAATAAAATATAACATTTGTGAAGCTGAGGATTTCCAAAAGAGGAATTATTTGATTCTATAAAGAGGATTAAATTAATGCAAGGAATTATGCAGTGGATTGTGGGGGAAATGAGAAATTCTAGGAGAAATATTTAAGTTGAAAATTTATGCAAAGCAGGGAAATTTATACTTGAATTATTTATATCTTAGGTCAATGGTAATATTGTTACACTTTAAAGAAAATTATACCACACAGACTTCTGAAAATTTTTGTTAGATTATGAGAAAAATAAATGGTATGCCACATTTTAATATTATAAAGATGGCTTTGTTGAAAACAATTAGTAAAGTAGACACTTTTGCTTTAAAAATTTAACACACAGTAAATATTTAATTTGCCTTTTAACTTTATTTTTGAAACACATCGTTTCTTGTATTTGAGAGCTTATCCAGCGTGTTTCAGGAATATAATGCACGCATTGCTTTTTTCAATTTAAGTATTAACATTTCACATGGCAGTTTCAATGAAATTCCATTCTTTTTTACCACGTTAAATGATCCACTTTCAGACAATAAAACAATATGTTAAAAATCTTTGTAATTGATTTTCACCACAGCTCTATGTGAATACACGAATCCCTGAAAACATTTTGAGCCTCATGTGGCACAAAGTCAAACAATAAATTGAGGTAGTCTCTGTGTTAAGAACACCATGGAAAGGTACTACTTGGTTTTTATTTTTGTTATTTGGCAGGTGAGCGGAATGACGTTGAGGTGTAGGGTACTTGATACTTTCTGGTTTTAGTTTTGCATTATTTATTTCTGACTGTAAATCAGAGTCCATAAAAAAATACACACAGAAATTGCATAGTTGTTTCATGGTAAGAATAACGTTAGAGATGACATAGATATTGGCATGGCACTTATGAACCAGGCCGGACTAAACATAGTTTTTCAAGCTATCAACACTTCAACTGAGTTTGTTTGTGCTAAAGTGCTAATCCACATATCTCCCCAACGTATATTTTCACACATAACACTTTTGTTTATGACATGAGTGATCATCTTTTCAAAATTCCAAGGTATTTAGTAAAATTTATTTCTTGAAAAGTTATAGTGTTTTTTAATCTTACATTGTTTATTGATTTAAATGCTTTTCTTAACTAGGATTACCCATTCCACCAACCATGAAACATAGCTATATTCAAAACATTTAAATTCACATTCTTACTGGACAATGTTTTTTTTTTTTTTCTATTTTGGGAAAAAAAACCAGCAACAACACAAAAACTGTGAGTCTTAATAAGTTTGCAATTACACATTTCCTTGATACCAACAACACGCAGTACCAGGCTCTGCCTCCACATGGTGCTAGCGCTATGCCCTCAGACTTAAGGAGTCAGAGCAGTCTGGCAGGGCAGAATTACCACTCAGCACCCACCTAAAATCGCTTTAACAATAAGACAGCAGATTTGACCACAACGGCACTACAGCAGAAATCTTGCCTTATGTGAAATCTGGCTTATGGACAGGAACAATTTGTCTAAGCCATTTGTAGTGAAGCCAAATAAAGGTGATTGGGAATAATTATGTGCGATTTCCTGTCCCATCTTTGGCTCTCACTAATGGGTTGACTGGCACTTGTTTCCTCTCTTCGCTGGATGGTTACCTGCAATGTTTTAAGAAAAGGCAGTCCTTGCAGGGAAAGAAGCCTCACAGATTTCCACATGTATATGTGCAAGTGCATGCATGTATGTATATTCTTTTATTGGTTATTATAATTGCTTTGAACTTTATAATGTACTAGCTAAGCCAAAACACAGCTTACTTAAACTATCTTGATGCTCTATCACAGACTTTGCAACATTAAGTTTAGTATTTGTTTCCATTTATTTTAATGTGAAACAGATACATTTATAGAGTTGGTGGCAGCTTTATGAGATTTCCTATTCATTTTGTATATATTTCTTGGTTATATGACAACTGAAGATACTATAACAATAGATTATCCTTGGCAGTTTTTCTTAGTTTCTTGCCAACGCACTAAAGGGTAACTGCACTGTCCCAGTCCTTCTTGTACAAGGAGACAGATAGGTTTTTCTTCACTTAATACTTACATAATGACCAACGTCTGTTAAGACAGCGTGGACAACTACAGGTGAAATCTGAATTGTTTATAGGAAGAAAACAAAAGCTTTCGAGGATGGACAACTGCAGATAAGATACAAATATTTACAGGACGAAAACAAAAAAATGTCTAAGTATCTTAAAATATATGCATAGTATCTTGTAAAACAATGCACAATCAGCTGGGCCGTGGTGGCGCATGCCTTTAATCCCAGACAGCACTTGGGAGGCAGAGGCAAGAGGATCTCCGTGAGTTCGAGGCCAACCTGATCTACAGAGAGAGTTCCATCACAGCTAAGAGTGTTACACAGAGAAACCCTGTTTCAAAAAACAAACAAAACAAAACAAAGCAAAAAAAAAAATCACAAAAAAATACCGCTCAATAAATATGTGTTGAATAAGTTAATCATTCCATGCCAAGAGTTTGGGTGATTTTAACAGGCGTAGTTAAGTAATGATGGAAAAGTGAAAGACTTTGAGTCTGGAAATAAAAAAATAGAAAATTTAAAAAGTAACCATGGAATTGTCATTTTTCCCTTTCCCCCTTTTACAAGTAATCAATATGGCAAGGTACCTGACAATGGAACATCTTTGACCATTTGTTTCCATGATTAAAAAAAATGAAGAGTGCTCTCAAAGTCTTCTCTGAGATATCAGACACAAAGGGTTGGGCAAATCCTCTGCTACATTTATAGCATTTAACATTGTTTTCACATGGAATCTACTTTTACACAGGTAGAACATAAAATACCTTCTTTTGTTTGGCTATTTTAGCAATAACCTTTGTATGAAATTGCTGAAATCTTTAATATAAAATAACTATCATTAACTCTTGATAAATGATTTATTATCTTTAAATCCTTTCTTGGAGACATCTTCACCTCCTTGAAATTCTAACAACACATATGTAGGTCTGTTGTGCCTATATAGCATATGGATATGATTGTAAATTTGCACAAATCTGTATCAAGAAACAAGAATCATTATTAGTTCATGAGTCTCCTTAAAGTAGTAATTTTCTTAGTTACTTTAGAATGCCTTCTTTAAAAGGTTTCACTTCCGTATTTAGCTCCAGATGACTAGTCGGAACACGTGAGCCTAAATGGTCAATTTTCTGCCTTCTGACTCATCCTGGGATGAAGAAATGTATCCCGTGATGTCACTGCCAAGTGATGTCAATCCCAGGTGGTGATTGTTGACTGAGGTAGCAAGTACCTGAAGGCCTTTTTATGTAAAACTTGATGCAATGTGTTACTAAGACTTCTTAATGATAAGTTAAGACAGCACTTGGCAGAACCGTGATGTTATTTTGCCTCCATAGTATTCTCTGAAAATTGAGTGTGCTGGTTGGAGCACTGACTCCGGAATCGCAGTTTAAGACGGAGTTGTTCCTATTAAGAGGGCTTCACCAGAGCCACATCATGAGCATCTGTCTCTTAGAGCTTGCTTGTGTGTAAGTGCCAACGAGAAGGCAATGCCCTACACAGGGCTGCTCTCAGACTTTAATTGGTTTCCGCACAAATGTCCCTCGAGTGGTCTCAAGGTTATAGGAAAGAGCGCACTAACAGTAATCGCTGTTTTTACTCTGCGAAAGCGCAATCACTATGAAACACAACAGCGTGCGTGTGTGTGTGTGCGCGTGCATGCACGCGCGCGCACGCTGACGATATTAGCAAA